AGAGGAGGAGGGGCTGACGCAGGCGATCATCACCGTCTTGGCATTCCCTCCCAGAGAGTCTTTGAGGATCCTGCCGGCAAGGGGACGGTGAGCGTCAGCGGCTTAGCTCTTGTCAACACTCACCTGGGACAAAGCCACCCTTCCTGAAGGGCTCCGAGACCGCAGCCGAGCGAGCTGGGTCAGCTCACCGGGTGATCTTGGAGTCGCGGTACGCGGTAGGGGATGTGGGTGCCTCGGCGCTGAGGGTCCCCTAGAGCGCTGATGACATTGCCCAGCGCCAGCAGGGTGCTGTTAATCTGGATGCTCTCCTTGAGCCGTTCGCCGGTGCTGCCGGTCTTGAGAACCCTCTCTGAGCCTGCCAGGTCCACGAAGTGGAATTTGGAGACCAGCAGGTGGCCGGCGGCGGGTCGAGGCAAGCGGCTAGGAGCCCGTCCCCGCTGCTCTAGGGTCACAGTGAAGACCGTGTGTGAGCGGCTGGACAGACGGTTGAAGTGTGTGGCGCCTGTGTGCCGCGCAGCGTTGCCCATCTCCAGGAGGCTCAGCACCTCGTCCAGGCCTTCCACGTCCACTTCTTTCACCCCACACAGCACTGTGGACACAGAAGACTGTGAGCGGCTCCCCTACAGACTGCCAAAGACTAGCGAAACAGTCCGGGGCTCCTACCTGTTCTTCCTCACCCAGAAGCACTCGTGCCCAGGGTCCCAGCTTTTCCACATTTACCTTGATGCTTCTCACTCAAGACATAGAAGCATATATTCAGCTCACTGAAGACAGGAAACAAACCGGTCCAGGGCTTACATGGCAGGTAAGCCACCCCACACACAAAGCTACCTGAGACTTTCCTTGCCACAGGCCTCACTCCCAGTCACTAAAAGATTACCAAGATTTCTCACCAACATTTCCCCGATCGTCTTCCCGAAGCTGGATGTCCCGGCTGGCAGTGCCCACTTCTAGCAGGTCTCGGAACTCTTCTTTATACACTTCCAGGTAGGACACATGCACCAGGCAGTCCAGCAGGTCGTTCTCATCAATGAGCTTGAAGGCCTCAGCCATGGCCCTTGGGATGATGCCCTGTTCATCTTCATGCAGGGAGGCTAGGGAGACACCACAGAGTCTCCTGCTGCAATCCCCCAGGTAAACCTGGCCCAAGAATCCCACACCCCATTATCAGCTTAAGAATGGGGCTGTAGCACGGAGACGACAAGGACAGAGGCTAAGAAGGAGAGGCGGCCTCTGCTAGGCAGTACCCCAGGATGGTTGAGCTGAATTAGGGAACTCAAGCAACCTCTCGTGGTTCCATCAACCACTTTCATGATGCACCCCCTTTACTACATTCCCAACGGATAATCAGATACCCTGGGCTTGATTACTCCCTGGGACAGGTAACTCACTACCATGGCCCATGCACAGCTAACTAAAGGGCCTCTTCATTTGCTTCAAGGAAGTAGAGTGTTCATTCTAAGATCCCATAGGAAGTTTGCTTAAATATAGTCACAGCAGAAAGCCAGAAAGTTACTAAATAAAAAGGAGATTGAAAGACTAGGGGTGTAGCTTAGTGGTAGGACACTTGCCTAACATGTGAGACCCCAAGTTCAATACACAGCAACACACACACAGGACTGAAAACTATTTAACAATAATGTTCAACATATATATATATATATATATATATATATATATTAGTTCCTGTAGTGTACAGGACTGAAAACTATTTAACAATAATGTTCAACATATATATATATATATTAGTTCCTGTAGTGTATATATATATATATAGTTTTTATCACTACAGGAACTAAAATAATATTTTATGGCCAGAAAATTCAGATGCTGCTGAGTGTAGTACTGCATAAACCATAAACCATGAACATTTGTCATTAAATATTATTCACTTGAGTGTGTGTGTGTGTTTGTGTATGTGTGTGTGTGTGTATGAGGTGTTGAAGATCAAAGTCATGGCCTCAAATATGACAGCAACTCTAATAGTGAGCTACACACAACCTCAGCCCTCTGGTATATTATTAAAAAAATAAAACAGGATAGAAAAGAAAATGTCATGTTTAGCTGGGCATTGTGGTGCACACCATTGATCCCAATACTTAGGGGGAAGGGACAAGTGGATCCTTGAGCTCGAGGCCAGCCTGGTCCAGAACAGCCAGGACCATACAGAGAATGGTCTCGAATGACAAAAACAAACAAAAATTTCATGTTTAAAATATAATTATTTTTACATAGAAACTGGAATGCTCAGAGATGCAAATATCAAGCATGCTATTTTGTGCATGTATTTTTCTGCATTTTCTTAAATTTCCATAATAAACAATTACACTGGTGTAATTGCTATGACCTGTTTGTCTTCCCAAAACTCACGTGTTAAAATAATCACCCCTACTGTGAAAATATAAGGAAACAGGGTGACTAACACATGAGTTGGAGCCCTCATGAATTAAATGAGTGTTAAAAAAAAAAAAAAAGTATGTGGAACTGGAGAGGTTGCAGAGGGATTAAGGCCACTGACTGCTTTCACAGGTTCCAGCACCTACATGGTGGCTCACAACCACCTATTATTCTATCCAGCGGATCTGATACCCTGCTCTCGCCTCTAAAGACACCAACCATACATGTAGTATACATACATACAGGCAAAACACTCATACACATAAAAAGAAATCTTTTTATAATTTATTTTTATTTTATGTGCATTGTTGTTTGCCTGAGTAAGGACGTCAGATCTTGGAGTTACAGATAGTGGCTGATTCCTATGCGGGTGCTGGGATTTGAACCCTGATCCTCTGGAAGAGCAGTCAGTGCTCTTAACCCCTGAGCCATCTCTCCAGCCCCATAAAAAGAACTTTTAAAAAAAAAAAAAAAAAAAAAAAAAAAAAAAAGGCTTGAGCCAGGTATGGTAGCCATGCCTATAATTTCCTAGCACTTGGGAAATTGAGGCAGAAATGGAAAGTTTGAGGTCTGCCTAGACTATGCAGTGAATTCTAGACCAGCATTGGATACATCAAGACCCTGACACAAAAGACAAAGGAAAATGGTTCCTGTCACTCAAAAGGGGGCAATCCTGTCCATTGGAATTGGCCCAAAGAGTCTTCCCTAGATGCAGAGGCTCCAATCTCAACTGCTCCGACTGGAATACGGATTCCTAGCCCCTGGTAGCATCCTGAGACATACCAACTTGCCTGGCCTTCCTCTGCTATGATGTCTCATCTTGAGAAAGCCATTCACCTCAGCATCCCCCTCCCTTCCTGCCTTTCTCAGCTGGCTAACACTGCTGGTCCCACTAGAGAGCCCGATCTCTGTCTAGGAAATGTAACTCCCTCCTCAGCACTTCATCCTGGGGGCTGGGGGAAGACAGGTACAGGCAGGCATTCAGGAAGACCTTGAGGCCCCTCAAAGTGGTCAAAGGGGTACAACAAGTCACTCACCCACACTGGCCTCCCCCATGGTATACGTCTTCCCGGAGCCTGTCTGACCATAGGCAAAGACAGTGGCGTTGAAGCCCTCAAAGAACGCCTCGAGAAGGGGCTGGACGCAAGCCTGGTACACAGCCTCCTGTCCAGTGTCCTCTCCCAGTACCACATGGAAGCCGAAGTGGCGGTCTCGCCCCAGGGTGATTCGACCATGCTCTGGCTCCACCTGCAGGCAACTCTGATGACCATGCAGCAGCTCCTTAGGCAGCAGTGGGCGAACTCGAAGGGCTACCCTCACGGGGGCATCCTCAGTTCCAGATAGCCTCTGGGCCTCCAGCCCCATGTTGAAGGAGGGCAGCTCTTGGATCTGCAGAGAAGAGGAAAGGTCATCAGGACCAGACCACATAGCTGCAGACCTTGGGTAGATTGTGGGAGGGGTATTCAAAATTGAAAGCATCGGCCCAACCTGGTACCCAACTGCCACACAAACCGTGATACCATTTTACCTAGTAACTTCTCTTGACATACTCCACTGGCAAAAAAGAAAGAAAAAGAAAGAAAGAAAAAAAGAAAGAAAGAAAAAGAAAAAAGCCCACCACTTGATACCCCAGGGTTTAGTGTTCCAGCCAATCCCTTCCCCTGTGAACTCATGTAGAACAACACACAGGGCATAACACCAGAGAACTCTTTCCCTTAATACCAACAGGCCTCATACAGTCTCTGCCATTGCCCATCACTGACACTGCTTGATGCCTGGACATTTCTGCAAAGAAGCCAACATCCTTCAAAATCAAGTTTCCATCCCTAAGTTCTGCCAATTCCATCTCCTAAATATTTCTCAAGATTATCAGCCTCATCCTGTTGCCAAAGCCAGTCTTGCTACTGACATCCCAAAGGGATTACTTTTGCCAGCCTACTGAGTCTCAGTCTCCCTGCCTCTCCAACCCTACAGCCTGGGGCATCTTTCAAAAATGTGGTTATGACAATCTCTTTTTTATACCCCACCTCCAACAATAAAGGAGGCTTAGAACAGACAACCCATGTGCCCGATCTCCTGGACACCAACCCTTTCCTCACCTCTCAGGCCAGCAACCTCTGTGTTACCAAAGCGTCTTGATCCACCCATGCTTGGGCTGGGCCCACCTTCTGCACAGGGCCATCACTGCTCTGCTCCGTGCCCATCACCACCACAGACAGCTCTTTGTGCTGCCCGCATCAGACACTGACCACACAGATGCAACAGCCAGATTCACCTTCCAGATGGAAAGCAAGAACCCTCTTTGTCTGTTTTGAACTCCATCACCAGCACCCAGCACAGGATACAACACTACCCAGTAATCCGTGATGACTCTCCGATCTCCATCCTCCTTCCTCAGTCCCCAGTCCCCCACACTGCACTTTGTTGTTTTTGGTATTTACTGTTTAGCCTCTCCACACGTATAACCGCTCATTCACTCGATCCGGGTTAGGTACCGGTACACAGTGGTACACTGCCTGGCGGCACTCCAAACCTCAGGTAGACTCTGGAGCTTAGTCCTGGCTTCTCCATCCCCACAATCAATGCCACGAGCCTCAAAGGCGTCCTGACATCTCCACCTGCGCGATCGGCCACTGGGAACAGGCCCTCCCGGAAAGTTTGCAAAAGTGATTACAAACACGGACCCTCGAAGGCAGCAGCTCCTGGCCAGGCCCGCCCAGGAAGGAGCTCCGGACAGGCTGGGGAGCACGGATGGGGCGCTGCTCAGGCGCCTCTCTGGCGCGCCCCGCCTGGCCCCCGACCCACTCCTGACCCACACCCACCTGCCTGGGTGCGAGCACTGTCCTGGGACCTACGGTCGAGCTCGGCGCCCCGGCGCGGCGCGCTCCGATGCCGTCATCGGGACCCCCGCCCCCCAAACATCCCTCCCTTCACCCTCAACTCCGCCTGCCCTGGCGCTCGGGGGCGGAGGCGCTAGCTGGGCGCCTCCAAGTCCGCCCGCAGACAGGGCGGGGCGAGCCCTCCGCTGGGGGAGGGGCGGGCCTATGCCAGAGGGGGCGGGCCTGGCGAAGCAGCCAGTGGCGTCTCTTCCACTCTGAAAATCTGTCTCTGAAATCGACACCAGACGTCAGTCCTTCACCCAGAGACCCACTTTCTGCTCCCAGCATTAAGCCACCCTTCTCATTAAAAACAAAACAACAGCAAATGCCCACCTTCCTTCAATTTTACAGCTAACTTTGTCACATTTTAGGATTTCTGAGATCAAAATGCATTTTACAGCCTCTGTCAAGGGACACTATCCTGGAGAGAGGTGATACAGGTGTGGCCATCTCGGTGACCTCTGAGGGATTGTTCCCACTGGAAACACCACGCATTACTGAATTTTTTTTGTTGTTGTTGGCTGTTTTGTTTTTGTTTTTGTTTTTGTTTTCGAGACAGGGTTTCTCTGTATTGCTTTGGAGCCTGTCCTGGCACTCGCTCTGGAGACCAGGCTGGCCTCGAACTCACAGAGATCCACCTGCCTCTGCCTCCCGAGTGCCGGGATAAAGGCGTGCGCCACTACCGCCTGGCTCATTATTGAATTTTTAATCCAAACCAGGAAGGGTGGCACATACCTGCAATCCCAGCACTCTATGAGATTCCTAGGGCAGAGAAGTTCAATGCCAGCTTGAGCTACAGAGTGAGATTCAAAACAAACACAAAAATATAAAATCCGGACACCGGACTAGGGGAGCAGTAGGACATTGCCTAGCACGAGGGAGGCCTTGGTTTCCCTCCCAAGTACCACAAACATCTCAGAATACACATTTATCACTTAAAACAACACTAAAGGAAACTCTAATATAGCAGCAAATTTTAATGCAGCACACACACACAGAAGATTGCCTGTTATAGAAGGGCAGCATAATTAAAGGCTTCAGAAATTGCCAGCTCTCCCAGATCTACATGAGAAAACCCTCAGACCCAAGAGGAAGAAACACAGTCTGAAATGACAAGAACCACAAGGCCAGGTTGTGCCTAATTGGCACAATAAGTAGAGGAGAGAGGAGGGGGTCCCCAGATGGTTGAGTGAAGGGCAACAGTACCAAGGACCCACTCCTCTAATCCTCCACGGGTGATATGCTGCCATTACAGAAACTAAACAGCCAGAGAAAAAGGGATCACCATGTGGTGTGGAGTGCTCTTGGAATCAAGTGACCTGTTCTTATGTCCTTTCTTTCCTTTACCCCTTGTATGTCACATGGTTAGGTCTGTTCATCCCTGAGCTAATCACTGGCAGAGTGATGATCTACAGGTCCTCAGGAGATGACATGGTTATCGAGAAGTCAACCACAGTCATATTCTAGGCTTTCGAAATAGAAGCAAGTGGCCGGCTGGTTCCTGGATGAGGAGGGGGTCACCAGGAGAACACCAAACAGCTCTTCGTCAGATGCACACCAGCTGAGGCATGGGACTTGCCGGAAGTTGTGGCACTTCCTACAAAACACAATTCAGTGAAGGAGGTAAAGCAATTGGGACATGTGGACACAGTGTAGAGTTTCTCTCACATGCCATAGAATTCCACTGTCAGTCCCAAAAATCCTAAGCCAGTTGGAGAGCTGAGCAGGGATAACCCAAAATGCAGAGCGGCCTGCCACCAAGACAACCAAGGAGATTCATTGAGATGCTGAATGTGAAGAAACCAGATGCTGCACCTGCATAAACATCACAGAGGATGATAGAGATTGATGAAACATCACATTTTTTCAGAGGAGTTATGATTATAATTATAATAGCAATTATAGTAATTAAGCTATAGAGAAGGTAACACTAAAGCGGTTAATGTTACGGTAAAATTGTGGAATTCTCAGTGTTAGACATCACTGGAACTGTCAATCTGAATTCATGGCTTTACAAAGAAGTAACCTTTTCCTAACCCTTACCAGTGAGCAAGTAATGATTTCACATCTACTGCCAAAACCCACATGGGGACAATCTAGTATGCCCATCCCAGTGTTCAAACTGTGGTCTTTATCACTGGTTCCAGTTCAAAATAGACAGTTCCACATGTTGCTTCAAGAACTGAAAGAATTTTTTTGTGGTCGGAAAATTTAGGTGTTGTTGTTAGGTATGGTGGTGCACACCTGCAATCCCTGAACTGGGGAGATGGAGACAAAAGGATCAGGAGTTTGAGGCCAGCCTCAGCTAAATATCAAGTTTGAGGCCAGCCTAGGCTATCTATACAAGACCCAAGAAAGAAAGGGAGGGGTGAGGAGGAGAGGGAAAAGGTGAGAAAATGATGAGGCAAAAGGGAAGAGACCTGGAAGATAAAGAGGAAGGGATAGAGGGAGGTAGAAAAGGAAAGAAAAAGGAAAGAAGGAAGGAAGGAAGGAAGGAAGGAAGGAAGGAAAGAAGGAAAGAAAAAACCAGTTGTTTTGAAAGTTGTGATAGGCCTACAAGGATGTAAGGATCTGGCCAGCTGGTTTTTATTACTTAAATGGAAACACAAAGTTCGAGGAGTAGCAAAGACACTCCTGCCAATGAGCAGTGTGGGGATGCCTAAGCAGATCTCAAAACTGGAGCCATTGTGATTCAGATACTCCCACAGAAATAAACAAACAGAATATACCAGAAACTAGGCTTGTATAACAGGGTGTTGATCAGCAGAAGCAAGTCAGGCTTCCAGAGACATCAAACAGAACTTGATCTGTTGACTCCAACCAAGCATCAGACAACAAGAGGTCAGAAATTTCCAGTTGACCTCTGAGAAACTCTCAATTCTTCAGCAGTATTCAGCACTAAAGAAATCTCAGGATGAAGCAATTGGGAAACCTATAGGCCTCAAGTCAGTTCTCCACATGGCTGGAAAAATTTAACCCTCACTTAAGTCATATTTTTAAAAGTAACCAATTTTATAGAACAACATTATGAAAATATTTGGAGAAATTCAAGACACATTGCTGTGAGATATCTACCAGAATAGACCACTCAGACACAGGTTTAAGGCAATAGAAAGTATTTATTAGACAGCTGGTGACTACGCCGAGTGTTTTCAGGACCCAAGTGAAGTCTTAAGCCTCCCTCCCTCCCTTCCTCTCTCCCTCCCTTCCTTTCTCTCTCTCTCTCTCTCTCTCTCTCTCTCTCTCTCTCTCTCTCTCTCTCTCTCACACACACACACACACACACACCATACAACACACACACAAAACAAAACAAAACCATATCCTGGGTTGACACACCTTAATTAGCAATAACAGAAGTGGAGCTATGGAAGCCAAAAAGCAAGGTTAGTACATTTAGGGACTTTCCCAGAACTACAGGATTTGAGGGATTAGATCTTGTTCCTGTTTTGGCAGGTGTTGCTGACTACCTGCTGGGTTCCAAGGCCTAAGTGGTACTTCCATCATGGTATCAGTTGTGCTAAGGTCTAGGGCCTACTAAGTACTGGGTCATGTTACAACATCATAATGACTTTGTGGAAAGGAATACCTTAAAGTTGTAACTAGAGCTGGAGAGATGGCTCAGAGGTTAAGAGCACTGGCTGCTCTTCCAGAGGTTCTGAGTTCAATTCTCAGCAACCACATGGAGGTTCACAGCCATCTGTAATGAGATCTGGTGCCCCCTTCTGGTGTGTATGCATACATGTCAGCAGAAGACTGTATACATAATAAATAAATCTTTAAAAAACATAAATTTGTAACTAAGAATTACAAAATATAAAATTATAATTTGACTAAATTTAAATAAATCAAATTAAAAATCAATCCATCAGTGCTTAGGAGCAAATACTGCTCTTGCAGAGGACATCATGTAGCTCACAACCAATTATTAACTCCAGGTCCATGGGATCAGATACCATCTCTGGCTTCCTGGAGTACTGCACTCATGTGCACAAACCCACACACAGACATGAACTTATACACATAATTCTAAATAAAGCCTTTTTATTTATTATTACTACTAGTAGTAGTAGCTTTTTCGAGACAGGGTTTCTCTGTGTAGCTTTGGAGCCTATCCTGGCACTCACTGTGTAGACCAGGCTGGCCTCAAACTCACAGAGATCCACCTGCCTCTGCCTCCCGAGTGCTGGGATTAAAGGAGTGTGCACCACTACAACCTGGCCAAAATAAAGCGCCCCCCCCAAAAAAAAAGGACCTCTGCTCACCTAAAAGCAACCATGAAGATGAACACAATACTCACATGTGGAAGGCAAATGCATGTGGCCCGCGCAGCCAGTGCGTGATCACTGTCTGGGAAAATAGCAGAACCCCCAAGCCTCAATGAGGAAAATAAGTTACCAAGAGAAAAATACTTCAAAGTTTTGACTGCCACTTCACAGAAGGGGAAATACAAACATTCAAGAAATACAGTAGGACTTTTTGTGGTTTGTTTTGCTTTGCTGCAGTGCTGTATATGTGTGTGTGGGGGGGGTAGGACATATCCAGGGCAGATAGGGAGATCCAGGGTGGGTGGGGAGGCTCCAAACAGATAGGGAGGCCAGGACAAGCCTGCATTTCTCTCTGCACACCCAGGCCTGGTATCACTTTCTAGCGGCTGCCCAAGCAGTTCTACTGTTGATAGGCAGGCTGGGTTCTGTCTTCACAGCCCTGCATGCCAGCATCTAAGCATCCCCTCTTGCCAGATCCACACCCACTACATCCCAGGGCACTCCTGAGTGTGGTGTGTACTTAGGAGGAGTGCACTAGTCATGTTCACATGTGCGTGCCCCTGTCCACCCCCCATTTCTGTTTTGGGCATCCTCAAACTCCAAAATCATGGATTATGGTATAGAACTCATTACAACAGAGGTCTGCCAAAGACCGGGGGTCAGCATACCACACAGCAGGGGTCAAGAAGGTACTCTTGGGTCTGAGGGATTCCAATAGCATATGGTGTATTTATGGATTTCTGGAAGGAACAAACGACAGACTCGCCCTAATGGTTTGTGTACATTTATATAGCAGCAGATGGCAATAACTGAACAAA